GTGCGTTTAACTCTATCACATCACACGCGTGTTACCGATCATCTGGCCCAGATGTTCACCGCCTCTGCCGCAGAACTGATTGTGGCTCAGATCCAGCTCCTTCACTCTGTAGTTGCTCTGAAAAGACACAGATGAGATGTTTCTACTCTCAAAAACAAAAGTTCAGTTTATACACAATTTCTTGCAATGCAACTTCTGTTTTTACGCATTACTTCTTAAAGGCACAGAGTGTAATTTGTGCACCAGTACACCTAGTGTTTTTCCTCCTTTACCCACAGAGATGAATGTGTGACTATGGTAACTGGGTTTGTTTTCTGTTCTGTTTGCTGCCATTCATTTTTATACTTACCGAAAAAGAATCTGCAAACCATTTGGCATCATGTTCAGCAAATTTATTCCCTGTGAACGTAAACATTGTGGTCTGTGTCAATGTGAATCAGGTTCACTGTGGTACTGTGCAACGGAAGCCCGTTTCTACCATACAAGTAACACAATCATGCTTTGGTAAATCATATTTATGACATAAAAGTTGAAATTATGACTTGTCAATTATGAGATAGTATTTAAATTTTGACTATCTCATGACTTAGTATGTCATAATTGACTTCTTATCTCATAATTATGAACTAGTTTGTCAGTTTTTATCTAATAATTGACTTTTTATAAATTTTGACTCAATATTATATTGAATATAATTATGACTTAATATGTATAACTTAATATAATAATTTATGACTTAGTCAATTTTGACTTCATATCATAATTAAATCATAATTGTTAGATAAAAAGTCAAAATTATCACAGTCATAATTATGAGAGTGAAAATTCTGACATGAAAAGTCATAATTATTAGATAAAAAGTGAAACTGATATACTAATTCATAATATGATATACTTACTCAATTATGACATACCAAGTCATAGTTCGTCAATTTTGACTTTTTATCTCATAATTATGACTTGGTGTATCATAATTGAGTTTATCTCATAATTATGAATTAGTATGTTAGTTTTACTTTTAATCTCGTAATTTATTATTTTATCTCTTTTCTGACTTTTTATCTCAGAATTTCACATTTTTATGAAATAATTTTGACTTAAATCTCATAATTATAACATTTTATGTCGTAAGACTTACCAAAGCATGATTTGTTTCTTCCTAGACAGAAATGGGCTTCCATATTGTGCACATATACATGAAATACCTGCAAGTTTTAATGATTTAATGGAAATGTTTTCCAAGAGCATTTTAGCAACACACTCGGCTCCAGCGGACTGAAGGTGATTGTCGGAGAGATCCTGCAAGACGCCAGATGTCACATGTTAACATTTTGCTTCCCTCTAGTGGACAGATGTATTGCAACAGGTACATGAGATGATGAGACAGACTTACAAGGTTCTGAATGGTGAAATTGGCCCTCAGCATCTCCATGAAATATCTGGCCCCTTCGGCGAGCAGAAAGTTGTCTGCTAACTCCAGTGTTGAGGTGTGCATGTCTGTCTGCGCACACAGAGGGCGAGAGCGAGCGTCAGCATCACCACATCAGCTTTAGTCCAACTAAATCTGTCTTACCACGAGGGCGATCGCGAGGGCTTTTCCTCCCAGGGGCCCGAGTCCATGGTGGTTGAGGTTAATGGTGGCGCAGCCCAGGTGTCTGAGGAAATATCTGACTGGAACGACACCCACCAGTTTACAGGCCTGCAGGTATAATGCTTCAGTCGACAAATCCTGCCTGACGCGCTTCAGCTCTGATACTGTACAAACACACACATGCTTTCTCATCGTCATCATCATCATCATCATCATCTGGTGCTGCTGAAGTAGTAATTCACTGTTTAAGAATATTACTGTATTTTTTCTTCATAATATCTTGATAAATGTCTATTTATATGTACACTGCCATTCAAAAGTTTTGGATCGGTAATCTTTTTTATGTTTTTAAGACAAGTCTCTTCTGCTCACCAAGGCTGCATTTATTTGATTAAAAATACACAAAAAAACTGTAATATTGTGAAATATTATTCGAATGTAAATCAGCTGTTTACTATGTGAATATATAGTAAAGTGTAATTTATTCCTGTGATCAAAGCTGAATTTTCAGCATCATTACTCCAGTCACATGATCCTTCAGAAATCATTCACATTAAGTAATCAGGTTGAAAGGTCACGCGTGTTCCGGGTCAGAAATGTAGGATAGGGTGAAAAACTCCGTCTCATTTTCTCCGCCAACTTCGAAATCGTCCGACATCGTTGTTTTACCTTTTATTTATTTAATTATTTTGTAAATGGCGTTTGACTCCATCTTTGCACGTTCTCTTTGTAAACACTGGGTCGGTTCTTACACCTACGTCACGCTTGACCTTTTTAACCTGATCACGTAATGTGTGTCGCATCACAGCTCGTGCAAGACCAGCATTAGTGGTTAAAAGTATATAAATGTTTATTTTGTTATAGATGTCCGCTGGTTTGTCAGACTCTTATTCCTCGGCTGGATCGTGTCGAGACTTTGAAGCTGCACTGAAACTCACATCTGGACCTTCGACCTGTTGGACACCGGTCACCGTGATTTTTCCAAGTAAGGCATGGTCCCGGATCAACATTCCTGTCCCAAAATGTAGTCCTTACCCTATCCCTACCCCTAAACCTAACCCTACCCATAACTTTTCCCTAAAATCAGAGGGTAATGAAAGGTGAATAACACTGATGTTTAAGTACTTCACCCTGGTTATAAGCCTAAACTTGACATAAACTGTAAACTTGTCCCTCAAATCGGATTGGTTGATTGGAAAGTTGATCCAGGAACATGTGGTGGTGAAATCACGTTCACCGCTGGACCTCATGAAGTCACTATATGGAGAAAATCCTGGAATGTTTTCTCAAAAACCTTCATTTCTTTTCCACTGAAGAAAGAAAGACATGAACATCTTGGATGACGTGCGGGAGAGTAAATTATCAGGACATTTTAATTCTGAAGTGAACTAATCAAGCGTAGCGTCAGTTCTGGCAGGTCACGATAGTCAAGCTCGCATCAGTGACTCTCAGCTTATCATCTACTATAGGAATACGACTCTATCACTGTATTCATATATAAGCTCATCAGTATTATCCGCAGCGATCGCGTTTCTCAGGAGCGATTACCCTCCTCCCTCCCCAGCTCCTCCTCTGTGTTTCCCCTAAGGAGGGTTATCGCTGCTCTTATTATGCTAGGCCTCATGGATGCGCAGGGAGTTCTGGCCCAGAACCACACCGCCAATCCAAACTGTATACTCAATCGATAAGTCCTGACAGAAATCCGTTAATCTAATGCTACAACTAGAAATATGATAGCATGTTTATTGGTAATTTAAATACTGAAAAGGAAATGTATTATTATAAACAGATTTAGTTGAATTTTACTGCATTTTAATTACTTAAAGTACTATTACAAATCGGCTTGTTTGGTATTGGATTTCAGCTCGGCACACAAGCCTGAAGGCTTCATAAGCGCAGCCGATTGAGATCTCCAGCGTCTCCAGTCTTACCCGGAGCGTCGGCGTCCGCCTCATCCTCTAGGATCAGCTCGTGTGGATCCTCATGTTCGGTCAGACTGAGGGAGTCCAGAGAGAGGCTGTGGACACCGATGCCGTCAGCCTTCATCTTCTACACACACGCTACACAAGCGCTCTTGCTGATGTGTGTAGGAACATGAAGCTGTACGTGTCTTAGCAACAGGTGTACATGTGACACCTGCACTCGTGCTGGAATCCGGTGAGGGAAGAGAGAGAGAGAGAGAGAGACATTAAAAATGCATGTCAGACACAGTCAGAGAGAAACTCACATTCCTACAGATGAAGCCATAGTAACAATAACATTAAACGCTTGAAAACTAGCAGAATTATCTGGAGTCCCCCTGTGGTGAAAATCCAGATTTTAATGTTGTTTATGTGTGTTTGTGGTGTTATTAATACGCTTTAAGACAAACCATGTGTAAATTCATAAGTCGACAGCATTGCTGAGTATTTTCTGCTTAAAACTGCAGTGAACCAAAGACAGTCTCAAAAACACGGTTTGAAATCGCTGGTGTTTCTGACGTCACAAACGACCTTGTAACCAATCAGATCAACGTGTGCTCGTCAACCAGTGGATCTCTGAGCTGAGGGAGTGAGTGGAGGCGGGGCTCATTTGCATATTCATAGAACCGCGCACACTAAATGAGGCGAGGGTGTCGAGTTACATTCAAGATATTTTAAGGGATGGAAAAAGGAAAAAACGTTTAAATATGTAATTTTAATGATCAAAGGTGAGTTTTAAGGGAAACAAATAATTGACTACAGGGGGGTTTTTAAAGAAATTGCCATGATAATGCATGAACAAAATAAATACAAACAATTTGCTGATTTAGTTGTTATAGCACAAAATTGAAATGATGTCCTACCTACCTTGGAAAAGACTTATCAAATGTCAAACAAATTCTCTCTTTTTTTAAATTCTCAGAATTGGTCAAATGGAATAAATCATAAAAATGTTCATGCTCAGATCAAAACATTTGTTGCTTTAAATAAAAGCATCTGCCAAATGCATAAATGTAAAAAATATTTTTTTTGATCAGAGCATGAACATTTTTATGATTTATTCCATCTGAACAGTTTTTTTTTCAAGAGTTCTTGTGCTATAACAGCATCAGTGGCTGTAACAACTAAATATTTACTTTAATAATAACAATACATTGATGCATTATAATTCTGTGCATGCTAAGCTCACTTTATACTGTATGCAAATCCTGATGCGCAAATGCACGCAGTTCTGATAACGTCATCCAATATTACCGATCAAAAACAGCTTTTATGAACTCATAACATTGCAAACAACAATCATATTCAGACACAAAATATATAAAAGATACTGTAAATAGAACGAATGCAATTTAATGAAAAACAATTAATGTTTTTAAACAATAACATGACAGATGCTCTCCTGTTGGCCGTGACGTCATCCCGCTGGCGTTGGTCGTCATGCTGTTTACGTTCAGCGTTATGAATAAAGTTTGTTCCCGTGCTCCTGTGAATCATGATAGCGAGTGTGATGTTTTACGCGCTCTATCCGCTCTCGAGGTTCATCGGCAGACTCTCAGGTAAGAGGTCCACGGAGTTTCGTTGCGGTTGCCGTTTGTTGATGTTGCAGCACGAGCACGAGCACGAGCACGTGCGCCCGAGGCTAAACGAAGCCCAACAGCGTCCGTGACACGCGCAACTTGTCGAAGTTTGGGTTGAATAATGGATATAAAGTGTGGCGACAGAATAAGCGATCAGCAGAGTCTGACATATAGTTTGGTTCTGCAGGCCTTCATTTATGTGCACGCTGTCAATCAATCAATCAATCATCCATCCGTCAATGCTGTCAAACCACCCAATCAAATAATTTCTAACATAACCCATCTGGTGCAGTGATGGTGTCCGATGGGAATACCATGGTGCTTTGATTTAGGAATAGTCCGGGGCTGGTTGTCACACTTTTTATTCAAGTAAATATCTCTAAGGGTTGGGTTATGAATTCCGTTCTATTTTTTTCCTGGACTCTGAGCCTATATGTTAGTAATAAATCAAGCATGTTTAATTAATTGAAATCATGAAACTTATACAATTTAACTACAATTTATTGAAAGTAAAAAAAAAAAAAAAAAAAAAAAAAAATTTAAGGGGCCTAAGACAGTCAATGGAAACAAAAATGGACAAATGTTTTTTTTTATGGAACAGTGCAGTATTTATTATAATAATTCTTTTTATTTATTTATGTGCTTCGTAATTTTTTAATCAGTGATGAGAAAAGTGAAGTCTCTTCTCTGATGACGAGGGCGGGGCTATAACCTGTCACTCACATGAGATCCACCAATAGCAAACCAAAACCATCCAATCAATTCCCTACGGACAAAATCAAGCCCCGCCCACATTTGTTCTTGTTCCAGAAGTGTTGTTCTGAAACGGTACCTACTGCATTAGTGCCGGCCATTTTTTTTTGTGGCGTTGGTGCCAGAAATATTTTTTCTATTCATTTTTCCTGTGAGGATTTAAAGGTTATCTAAGCCATGTCGGGTGACGTCATTTCTTGTTGACGTTTAAAGTATTGTCAACAAAACGGAGGCTAGCTAGACCCCCCCTCCTCCTCATCCGCGCACTAACCCTCCAAACCCCGCCCCCAAGTCCTTCTTGTCGGTGATTGGCTGGAACTGTAAGTCATGTTTCGTGGAGCGGGTTAGTCCACTTTGTTTTTGTTGCTGTTTGTGGAGCCTGGGCTGTCTACAGAGATCGCGTTTCTTTACAGTGTGTTCAGGGGACAGGCAGCCAGCGGTTTAGTGAGGAGATGTTTGCTGTATGTGACAAAAAAAGTTTTGGCCTAAAAAATGCGTGACATCGCTTAGAGCACCTTTAAACAAAATCTTTGTCAAAGTGTTATAAACCATGAAACAAACCAATAATCAGCTTTGATGAGAATCATAACATTACAAACTTTGAATTGAAGCAAAAAAAAAAAAGAAAAGTATATGAAAATTAGACAAAAAGACAGATACAAGACTGTGAACTTTAGTGAGGGAAAGAACTACAATCCCATGAAGCATTGTGAATGACAAACTAATTAAAATCAGTAGAGAAGTATAAAACCATTCATTTAAATTCGTTGATTACATCTATAGAAAGAAACGATATATTTTGACTTGATTACATCATCTGCAGTGCTTCATGGAGTGGGCGGACCCAAAGCCACGATTTGATCACTGTGACTCTCTAATTGGTGGAATTATCTGCACAGCATCATGGGTAATGTAGTTTTCACCCACAAATTCAGCTGATTTCTGATTTTGAATACCATTTAGGATGGATATGATGTGAATTGAGATGCAGCAACAGTTCTTAAATTAGCCTAATCAAATTAGTTGAATGAATGATTTAATGACGCACTCATAAAGACAGTCACTTTGTCGCCACCTACTGGTGTAACAGCGTAACATGCAGAAAGAATCACGGTAAAATCCTCACCTCCAACACACAGACTGACAGTCTGTCTGGATGGAACAAACACAGACAAGCCGAGTATAACACACAAAGTCATAATAGTGGAGTTTTGGATGAATTCATAACCTGATTTATGACTATTTAAAAATCAAAGTGTTTGAAACTAACCTAGAGAAAATAAGAAAATTTGTGCAATTGAATTTTTGATTCAAAATCTGATCGTTGGATCAGGACAAGTTCTCCATGTGACAACTAGCCCCAATCTGCCCTTGGCTCTGAAATATTACCATAATAATACACTATCTTGTTCCAAGAAACTCCAAATTGCACCATAGTACTGCAAAAAAACAGAACCTGATGTAAATTTAAGAAATAAATGTGACTTCAAAGTGACCTAGTCATGGAAATGACACTATGTGAAATCAATTTCCAAATAGATCTGTTTGTCACTTTTCTATTTTCTTTCGACAGAATTGTGGTGCAAGGCACCGTCTGTGTATGTTAATGGGAAAGAGGTCTGGGATGGTGGCGGCGCTGTTTCTGGACCGCAGCAGACGGGCCTGTCACTGCAGTGGCACAGCGCTGGAGACACCGACACCGGCCGCGATCCAGACCACACGGAGACAGAGAGTCCTCAGGGAGCGCTGGAGGTGCCTTAAAGTCTCCCTGTAGTTGATCATTTTATCCCTTAAAACTCATCTTTGATCACCAAAATATTTAAATGTTTTTTCCTTTTTCCATGCCTTAAAATATCTTGAATGTAACTCGACACCCTCGCCTCATTTAGTATGCGCGGCTCTATGAATATGTAAATGAGCCCCGCCTCCACTCACTCCCTCAGCTCAGAGATCCACTGGTTGACGATCACACGTTGATCTGATTGGTTACAAGGTCGTTTGTGACGTTAGAAACACCAGCGATTTCAAACCGTGTTTTTGAGACTGTCTTTGGTTCACTGCAGTTTTAAGCAGAAAATACTCAGCAATGCTGTCGACTTATGAACTTACACATGGTGTGTCTTAAAGCATATTAAAAACCCCACATACACACATAAACAACATTAAAGCTTGGTTTCACCACAGGGGGACTTTTAATATTTTAAATAGTTCAAGAAAAGTCTTAATCATCATTTCAAGAGGTCTTAAATTTGGAAACGGAAATCATGATATGGCTTAATATGATTGATTATTTAACTTCAAAAGGTGATGTAATTATAAGCACTGCATGTTTCAGAGTAAAAATGCTGCGCTGTTGCTCGTGGTTTCAGAGCAGTTCACAATCAGTGAAAACTGCACGTTTATGCCAAACGATCGCTTATTGATCTACTGGTGATGAATTATGACATTGTTTACCTTATAGTGTTTTTAAAAAATTGTGGCCTTTTGGAGTAATTAGCTGTTCTAATTCGTGCAGCGCTGTATACAGGGTTTACCAGGGTAACCGCTGTGATCCTGCTGGAAATCATCACCTTTAGAAGTTTAAAAATCAATCACATTGTTAAGCCATATCACGGTTCCTTTCTGTATCCAAATTTAAGACCTCTTGAAATGCAGTTTTCTTAAAGGGGCCATATAATGCCTAGGGCTGGGTATCGATTCAGATGTTCAAATTCGATTCGATTTCGATTCACAAGCTCACAGTTCGATTCGATTTCGATTCTCGATTCGACTATAATGAATATAGATGTAATACAAATCTAAATATCAGTTATCATTTTTTAGACAATTTTTTATTACATTGATCTCACCTAAATGTTTGTTTTTACAATGGGGTAATTTTTTTGTTAAGAGTTTATGCAACACATGGAAGCTTGATTTCAATCTTTGAATTAAATTGAAAAAAGTAGCACAAATAAATACAATAGAATAGACCTAAAGACACAAATAAAGAGACATAAAAAGAAAAGTTTTTGGGTAGGTCAGAAATACTACAGAAACTGAATAAAGTAATCCAATGTAAAATAACACTGGATAGTCTTTTAGTCCTGACTGAATTAAATACATAGGCTATTAATTCTGATTCCTTACAATTAATGCTATATTATGTTGTTTTGACAACAAAATTAATGACAGACACATATGGCTGCGTTCACTTTAAGAGCTAGTGCACGGATCCATTACTGTTTCATTATACTGTCTGTCACACGCGTTTTATGCTTATTTAAGACATAGCCGACTGTCTTTACGAGGTTACTCACCAAGACCAGAGTTTTGACATCATTTTGCGTGTTTTTAACTGTTAAAGTGATATAATCCACGAAAAATTACTTTTGTTACTGGCGAGCTGTTTGTGAGGCGGATTTAGGCTTTACTGTATGTGCACGCAATGAAAAACACGCGCGAGTGCGCGAGCACAGGATAGTTTAAAATTGCTTGAATGTTTAAACTGGTAAAACTTAAAAAAGACGTGAAAATGATAAACGTTAGTTACGATGCAATGCTGGCCCGATTGTGCAAGTGAATCATGTCCCGACTCCTAAACACGAGTGTGTATATAAATAGTCTCTGGTGTGTATCGACGCCTGCAGCGCTTGACGCTTGCCTTGTGCAGAGTGAGAAGACGCAGCACCGCGAGCCCTGAATATGGAAAAAATCGATTCGTGGCCGTTGAGAATCGATTTTGAATCGACCACATTTTAAAAAACGATTAATCGAAAAATCTATTTTTTTGCCCAGCCCTAATAATGCCATTTTTGTACAAGCTAATATGATTCTTTAGGGTCTAAATTAAAAGTTTGTAATATACTTTAATTCAAAATTCTCATTAGTATTGTAAGAAAACACTTATTTTAACTGGTCAAAAACAGCTCTGTTTTCAGCACGCCGTTTCAGTGCATATCCCTTTAAATGATAATGAGCTTAGCTGACTCCGCCCCCTCTCTTCTGTGCGTACACCGTTTGTAACACAATAACACAATAACCATAACGCGTTGTTCAGTATAAACATGGGATTATGAATTATATTGAGAACGTCATACATAGAAAACATGCCGTAATGTACCCTGAGTGTAAACCTTAGACGCATTCATCGTGAAGCGTGCAGCTAGCGATTTGCAAAGATTTAATAAAACGTTACACTCACTTCAGTTGTTCTAGAGAGGTTCTGCAGGAACACGAATAGTTGGTACCGATCCTTTTTTCATGAGCAGCTTCTTAGCAAATCCAGCTTTACACTGACCCTCGTTTATAAAGCAGTCTGCTGAGAAATGATTCGCGCAAACATGAGAGCATTGACGTTGCTCGTGGGGAATATTCCCTTCGAAAACAAAACTCAGCCACTGCGTCTTCAGCGGTTCGGATTGAGGAACATTAAAATGACTGTGTTTGTTATTACACCCAAGAACAGAACACCACAATCGCTTATACCACCATATTCTGCTCATAGACAGTGCTCCAGCATATCAACAATGACCGCGCCGGTCCACTATGATTGACAGCTGGCTCACGAGCGAGGGCGGGTCTGTGTTGAAACGATGCTGTCAATCAACACTCGTGGGAGGGGCTTCCGAGCGTGTGACATCACAAAATTGAATGGCTCAATTTGAGGCAGGGGAAAACATATAAGGCAGTGGTCTCAAACTTGCGACCATGCGACAAACTTGTGATATTTTGTGGCCCCCTACTTGACTTTAAAGTTTAATGTTAGTGCGGCCCGTCGTTGCGTGTGCCGCGTTTTTTTATCCCTTATGGGCTACCATAGATAGTCTCGTGACAGCTCACGGGTGGGTTTGTTGTCAATAGTTGTCATAGACAACCGCGAAGTACAAACATACTGCGCCTGGAAAAAATGAGCGCGTCGCGCCTACATTTGAAATAACGAACTTGAGCGCGCAAAATATGTGAGCGCGATATGTGAACGGCCCCTTGGCGAGCTACCTCCAATCAGGCCACGAGCTACTGGTGGCTCGCGAGCGACGTGTTGGAGAGAGACCCTGCTCTAAAACAATGTGAGAATAATAACTTTGAGCTTGTAATATGTGTCCAACGGGTTGATAAGAAGGTTTGCTTTGATTTGTGCAGTCAGTAATTTGCCTGAGACACTATACATGTGTAAAAAGAATTCAATAAGACGGGCAGACATGACTGCAAATATTTGTATTTCAAAAGCAATAATTGTTTTTCTAAGTATAATAAAAGGAAATGTGCCTTCCAAAAAAACATTCAATATCATATTGAAAATAAAAAGGACATGAGCAAACATAAGAATCACAAAGATGTTGTGTATAAGGAAAAGACAAAGAAAGTTTGTAAAATGAACTTCAACTGTCAGAAGGACAGCTCATGAAGAACCAATCATGTACAGAAAGGAATGTTCAAATTCAGAGGAACAGTTCAGCAGAAACGTTAATAATAAAGATTGAGAAGATTGGATCAGTTGTGCTCCTTTTTGGAATACTTGAATACTATTTTTTGTGGAATACTTGATGCGGCCCAGCCTGACCCAGACTCTACCTCCAGCGGCCCCCAGTTAAGCTGAGTTTGAGACCCCTGATATAAGGAGATTAAAACAAAAACACTGGATGGATTTTTATCATTATATGATGGTTGTGTACAGGCACTGCCAACACACATTTCAGTACAATCAACTTGTAAAAGTGCATGTAGCATTATATGACCCCTTTAACAGGTGGATCAAAGAGAAGCAAATGTGGATGCTGATGCATATATAATATATCATGCATTTTAAATATAATCATCAGAATATAAATATAATCACTTATAATTTTGACTCAAAAAAGAAGCAAATGTGCATTCTGAAAATCTAAAGGTATAATATATCATGCATAATCATGCATTTTCAATGTAATTAACAGAACATAAATATAATAATTTATAATTTTGACTCATCCCATAAAAAAATGGTTTAAAGGATGAAATGTGAGGTTTACTTGTTGTTTTTGTCAAAATCTGTATTTGAACTGTGTATTGTAGTTTTTACAGTCATGATGATGCTCTACTCCCCGTCCATGTGGTAATCATTTAATGCAGGTCTTAAAAACTGATTTTAGATTGCCTGCATGGAAACTAGTGTGAACGATGGACGCGCAGACGATGAGAAAGCGGCTTTGGTGCTGGAGGAAGAAACTGATGATCGTGACCCTGTGATGAACGAGTGTGTGTTTACCAGAACTGAGTGTGAGAGTCAGTCTGAACACAGCTGTGCTCATGCAGTCGAGATCGATGCGGCACATGATGATGACCGTGTGATGGATTCCTCCCTGTCTGACATGTTCCTGGGCTCTGGCTCTGGAAGCGAGGCTCCTCTACACGCCGGCTGCCCAGTGTTTGATCTGGCGGCTCTGCTTGCAGACTCTCAGACGGCAGCGGAGCCCTTCGGCTGGCACTTCCCCACCGGCCTCGGCCTGTCTCAGATGTGTTACCGCCCGTACGTGCAGTTCCCTGCCGTCAGCTACTATCCTGCCTTTCAAGACAGTGACAGTATTGAAGGTGGGATTCTCAGATTTATCTTGCACAATATACACTCTTCCAGACAGAAGTTTATAGACGCACTGACTAAAGGTGTCTGCTTCGGTTACTGAAATATGTAAAAACTAGGGCTGTGCAACGATTAATCACATCCAAAAATAAAAGTTTGTTTACACATAATATATGTGTGTGTACTGTGTATAATTATTTTGTATACATAAATACACCCACACATGCATGTATATATTTAAGAAATATTTGAATTTGTATACTTTATATATAATTTATATTATATCAAAATTTTAATATTTTATATATAAATAACATAGTTTTCTTAAACATATATGCATGTGTGTGTGTATTTTTATATATATATATATATACACTCACCTGTCCAACTGCTCGTTAACACTTAATTTCTAAGCAGCCAATCACATGGCGGCAACTCAGTGCATTTAGGCATGTAGACATGGTCAAGACAATCTCCTGCAGTTCAAACCGAGCATCAGTATGGGGAAGAAGGTGATTTGAGTGACTTTGAATGTGGCATGATTGTTGGTGCCAGAAGGGCTGGTCTGAGTATTTCAGAAACTGCTAATCTACTGGGATTTTCACGCACAACCATCTCTAGGGTTTACAGAGAATGGTCCGAAAAAGAAAAAACATCCAGTGAGCGGCAGTTCTGTGGGCGGAAATGCCTTGTTGATGCCAGAGGTCAGAGGAGAATGGCCAGACTGGTTCGAGCTGATAGAAGGGCAACAGTGACTGAAATAACCACTCGTTACAACCGAGGTATGCAGCAAAGCATTTGTGAAGCCACAACACGTACAACCTTGAGGCGGATGGGCTACAACAGCAGAAGACTCCACCGGGTACCACTCATCTCCACTACAAATAGGAAAAAGAGGCTACAATTTGCAAGAGCTCACCAAAATTGAACAGTTGAAGACTGGAAAAATGTTGCCTGGTCTGATGAGTCTCGATTTCTGTTGAGACATTCAGATGGTAGAGTCAGAATTTGGCGTAAACAGAATGAGAACATGGAACCATCATGCCTTGTTACCACTGTGCAGGCTGGTGGTGGTGGTGTAATGGTGTGGGGGATGTTTTCCTGGCACACTTTAGGCCCCTTAGTGCCAATTGGGCATCGTTTAAATGCCACGGCCTACCTGAGCATTGTTTCTGACCATGTCCATCCCTTTATGGCCACCATGTACCCATCCTCTGATGGCTACTTCCACCATGTCACAAAGCTCTAATCATTTCAAATTGGTTTCTTGAACATGACAATGAGTTCACTGTACTAAAATGGCCTCCACAGTCACCAGATCTCAACCCAATAGAGCATCTTTGGGATGTGGTGGAACGGGAGATTCGCATCATGGATGTGCAGCCGACAAATCTGCGGCAACTGTGTGATGCCATCATGTCAATATGGACCAAACTCCCTGAGGAATGCTTCCAGCACCTTGTTGAATCTATGCCACGAAGAATTGAGGCAGTTCTGAAGGCAAAAGGGGGTCCAACCCGTTACTAGCATGGGGTACCTAATAAAGTGGCCGGTGAGTGTGTATATATATATATATATATATATATATATATATATATATATATATATATTTACACATAATTTATATTACATATAAATATAAATATTTCATATTTAAATAACACATTTTTCTTAAATACATGCATTCCCATTTTCACATACATGCGAACCCACGGTTCGGCGCGCATGTGACTCGCGGACTCACTGCGGAGTTTGACCATCATTGAGTGCAAGTTTATCATCTGGACGTTTTTGTTTTTCCAATTTACACATTTAAACAATTCTAAACGCAGAAGAAAAGGCAAAAATCGGTACTCGCGCATTATCTGTGCGCACCGCCGCACACACTCGCAGAAAGAGAGAGAGAGATAGGATATATATATACACTCACCGGCCACTTTATTAGGTACCCCATGCTAGTAACGGGTTGGACCCCCTTTTGCCTTCAGAACTGCCTCAATTCTTCGTGGCATAGATTCAACAAGGTGCTGGAAGCATTCCTCAGGGAGTTTGGTCCATATTGACATGATGGCATCACACAGTTGCCGCAGATTTGTCGGCTGCACATCCATGATGCGAATCTCCCGTTCCACCACATCCCAAAGATGCTCTATTGGGTTGAGATCTGGTGACTGTGGAGGCCATTTTAGTACAGTGAACTCATTGTCATGTTCAAGAAACCAATTTGAAATGATTAGAGCTTTGTGACATGGTGGAAGTAGCCATCAGAGGATGGGTACATGGTGGCCATAAAGGGATGGACATGGTCAGAAACAATGCTCAGGTAGGCCGTGGCATTTAAACGATGCCCAATTGGCACTAAGGGGCCTAAAGTGTGCCAGGAAAACATCCCCCACACCATTACACCACCACCACCAGCCTGCACAGTGGTAACAAGGCATGATGGTTCCATGTTCTCATTCTGTTTACGCCAAATTCTGACTCTAACATCTGAATGTCTCAACAGAAATCGAGACTCATCAGACCAGGCAACATTTTTCCAGTCTTCAACTGTTCAATTTTGGTGAGCTCTTGCAAATTGTAGCCTCTTTTTCCTATTTGTAGTGGAGATGAGTGGTACCCGGTGGAGTCTTCTGCTGTTGTAGCCCATCCGCCTCAAGGTTGTGCGTGTTGTGGCTTCACAAATGCTTTGCTGCATAGCTCGGTTGTAACGAGTGGTTATTTCAGTCACTGTTGCCCTTCTATCAGCTCGAACCAGTTTGGCCATTCTCCTCTGACCTCTGGCATCAACAAGGCATTTCCGCCCACAGAACTGCCGCTCACTGGATGTTTTTTCTTTTTCGGACCATTCTCTGTAAACCCTAGAGATGGTTGTGCGTGAAAATCCCAGTAGATTAGCAGTTTCTGAAATACTCAGACCAGCCCTTCTGGCACCAACAATCATGCCACGTTCAAAGTCACTCAAATCAACTTTCTTCCCCATACTGATGCTCGGTTTGAACTGCAGGAGATTGTCTTGACCATGTCTACATGCCTAAATGCACTGAGTTGCCGCCATGTGATTGGCTGCTTAGAAATTAAGTGTTAACGAGCAGTTGGACAGGTGTACCTAATAAAGTGGCCGGTGAGTGTATATATACAAAATAATTATACACCGTACACACAATATATTATGTAAACACAAACTTTTATTTTAGATGCGATTAATTCTTGAAACAAAGACCAAACCATTGTTTTTTCATGTGCTGGTCAGGTTTGAGATTTTGCTTCCATAACTACGCGCCTTCTTTCAGACTAGTGGAAAGAAAACATCCAAAACACACAATTAAGTGTTTATCTTTTTGCGCTTTATCTATTTGCATCTGTAGATTTCAATTACAAGTCAGAAATCTCCACTTAAGCAGCTTTACACACACCAAACTTTACAGTTTTATTCATATTTATATTATGAAAGTTTGTTTATAGGACATTTTATTCCTAAAAACATGGGGGAAATTTTATGTTTCTGTCTGTTGAAAGTATTTTCAGATTTATGGAGGGATAAAAAGAGAAATCCAAAATCCCCTCTGGATTTTTTTTAACTCTAATATATTAACAAAATGATTGTGAACTTGGCTTTACCCAGTGTTCAGATTTCTGTTCTGGAAATGTATACAAATTTATGCGTATTTAATTAGATAATACATCATTTGCGTATTTAAACACTTCAGAAAAGCAATACAAAACCATTTCAGAAAAGAAATAAACGATTGTCTTAATGGACATGATTAATCAAATGGGTAAAAGTATGTAATTTAAATTTGATCTCAAATAAATGCTGTTCTTTTGAACTTTCTATTTATCAAACATTCCTGAAAAATAAAATGTATAAGTTTAAGCAAAAATATGAAGCAGCACAAAATTGATCATATGAAATATGGAAATAATAATAAAGAACCCAAACATCTGACTGGTAAGGTTACACATAGATATCATCTGTTGAATGATTGGCTTAATCTTCCATTTAAATGTCCTTTTTCCTCTTTCCAAGTGACGTGGCGAGTGTGGGAGGACTTCAGCGAATCCCGGACCGGCGCCTGTGTGGACGCGGCTGATGCGTTTGACTTCAGCATCATGTCCTACAATATCCTGGCCCAGGATCTGCTGGAAGCGAATCCCGATCTGTACACACACTGCCCGGAGGAGGTGTTAGCGTGGGACGCCCGGCTCCGGACCATCCTGAAGGAGCTGCAGATCTGGCAACCGGACGTAAGGCCACCGGCAACCCTAAACAGAGAAACGTGACGGACATCGCCTCTAATAGAGTGCATTAGTGCCGTCCACTTCTTCTGCACCGCTGGTTCCTGAAGCATTTTTCCCATGGGGATATTAAAAAGTCCTTGTTTAAACCATTATAAGCCGTGAACAGAACCAACCAGCTATGGGGAGAATCACAACAGCACAACCTTTGATTTGAAGCAAAAAAGTAAAGTTTAAATAGCAATAGATTCTATTTACACTGTAAAAATAGCAGTATTTTCTTTGCAGTAAGTAGTAGTTAAATGCTATTTATACTTATAAATAGTGGCAGATACTATTTGCAACTCAGTGTTGTTGTACATTAAATGTATGCAATAAGAACATAGAGAGTAAATTATTATATTTATTAAAATTATTAAATGGATGCTGTTTTGTTGACACAATAAAGCCCTCCCTAACCCTAAAGACCTTATTATTAAACACACGTTAGACACTTTATTTCCAATATTTGAATATTTTCTTCATTTTTATTGAAAATAAAAGCCTCTCTGATCTGAGATGTGATGGGAAAAGGGAGTAAAGGTGGATTTGAACTCGGGTCTACACTCACCTAAAGGATTATTAGGAACACCTGTTCAATTTCTCATTAATGCAATTATCTAATCAACCAATCACATGGCAGTTGCTTCAATGCATTTAGGGGTGTGGTCCTGGTCAAGACAATCTCCTGAACTCCAAACTGAATGTCAGAATGGGAAAGAAAGGTGATTTAAGCAATTTTGAGCGTGGCATGGTTGTTGGTGCCAGACGGGCCGGTCTGAGTATTTCACAATCTGCTCAGTTACTGGGATTTTCACGCACAACCATCTCTAGGGTTTACAAAGAATGGTGTGAAAAGGGAAAAACATCCAGTATGCGGCAGTCCTGTGCGCGAAAATGCCTTGTTGATGCTAGAGGTCAGAGGAGAATGGGCCGACTGATTCAAGCTGATAGAAGAGCAACTTTGACTGAAATAACCACTCGTTACAACCGAGGTATGCAGCAAAGCATTTATGAAGCCACAACACGCACAACCTTGAGGCGGATGGGCTACAACAGCAGAAGACCCCACCGGGTACCAATCATCTCCACTACAAATAGGAAAAAGAGGCTACAGTTTGCAAGAGCTTACCAAAATTGGACAGTTGAAGACTGGAAAAATGTTGCCTGGTCTGATGAGTCTCGATTTCTGTTGAGACATTCAGATGGTAGAGTCAGAATTTGGCGTAAACAGAATGAGAACATGGAACCATCATGCCTTGTTACCACTGTGCAGGCTGGTGGTGGTGGTGTAACGGTGTGTGGGGGATGTTTTCTTGGCACACTTTAGGCCCCTTAGTGCCAATTGGGCAATCGTTTAAATGCCACGGCCTACCTGAGCATTGTTTCTGACCATGCCCATCCCTTTATGGCCACCATGTCCCCATCCTCTGATGGCTACTTCCAGCAGGATAATGCACCATGTCACAAAGCTCGAATCATTTCAAATTGGTTTCTTGAACATGACAATGAGTTCACTGTACTAAAATGGCCCCCACAGTCACCAGATCTCAACCCAATAGAGCATCTTTGGGATGTGGTGGAACGGGAGCTTCGTGCCCTGGATGTGCATCCCACAAATCTCCATCAACTGCAAGATGCTATCCTATCAATATGGGCCAACATTTCTAAAGAATGCTTTCAGCACCTTGTTGAATCAATGCCACGTAGAATTAAGGCAGTTATTAAGGCGAAAGGGGGTCAAACACAGTATTTGTATGGTGTTCCTAATAATCCTTTAGGTGAGTGTATATGCGTCAAAGCTTTCTGCTACACTTGGTGTAAATAGACACCCCGAAAAGTAAAACTGAACAAAAAGACAAGACTCTGAACTTGATGGCTTTAATAAGTGAGAGAATTACAATCCCATGAAGCATGGCGAATTAAAAAATGAATTAAAAACGAATATGAAACTATTTCTGAGAGCGTAGGGAAACGGACTCGATTATATCATTAGTGGTGCTTCATGGGAGTGGGCGTAAATAATTATAAATATTAGTCGGCTAAATGGAAAAATCCCAAAGCGGCATCGACGCAGCGTCTCGTTCCCTCGAAAGGGAAGTTGAAATAATGCGAACAGATGGCTTTAATAAAAGCATATACCATCAACTAACAACCACAGAGCTCAGAACAAGTCTGTCTTTAAAGGTTTATAAGTTATCATTAAAAAATACATTCCAATATGTAGTTTTTAATGTCGGGCTCACAGATGCGCCATGTTTGTATTTGTCTGTTGCACTAATATCAATATTTCCTCTTCTGTACAGGTTATTTGTCTTCAAGAAGTTCAAGAAGATCACTTTCATAAGCAGATGTGTCCTGTCCTGACTGAAATGGGTGAGGTGCCGAACAGAATTATTCTGGGAACATGAAATGAACCTGCCGCTGATAACACACCAGTGAGGATAATCTTCCACATGTAGTCTGTAGGGCTGGTCCAAATACCATTTTTTGAGCTTCGAAGCTTCGGTAGTAATGAACATCGTATTTTCTAAGCTTCGGTAGTAATGAACATCGAATATTCGAAGTTTCGGTAGTAATGAACATCGAATATTCGAAGCTTCGGTAGTAATGAACATCGAATATTCGAAGCTTCAGTAGTAATGAACATCGAATATTCAAAGCTTCGGAATCTCTATATGTCTGTCTGTCCGTTTGCATTTTGATTATTTCGAGAACCGTTCATCCAAACGACTTCACAAGGAGTGCAGTGCCGTATTTGGTGCAATATAGATAGACAGGCGAGACGCGACACGTTCAGAATTAATAAACTTTTAATAAACTACAGAACAGCGCGAGCGGGAAGCAAGCGCGCCTCACGCGAGCAGAGCTTATATGCTACGAGAACGGACACTGCACTAGTGATATAAAACACACACACACACACACACACACACACACACACACACACACACACACACACACACACACACACACACACACACACACACACAGGTCTGTTAACTTAAGCAATATTTTTAATAAGGTATAGCCTTATAATATTCTCACTGACAAAGTAGGGTAGATTTAAATAAATAAAAACGAAATTTAAATAAATAAAAACGAAATTTAAATATAGAAAAACAAAATTTAAATAAAGACAAAAGAAAAATAAATGAACGAACTGTAATAGCATAAATAAAGAACACGGTAGCAATAACAATAACAATTTCAATAACAACATCACAAATTTCTATTAATATTTCGCAGTAGATTAATTTAGATTGATAATAACGGGTAAAAAGGATAATACATTTTGTTTCTATTATTCTATTTTCCACAATGTCAAAGCAACGCAGCTTAACCCAAAACACAAGCTCAGGCTCTTCTGTCCACACACACTCCGCTGTTCTGCGCTCTAGCAGAGAATACACCCGTTGCAGGAACACTTTTAGTAGTCCAAGAAGAAGCAAATATATTTATTAAGTAGCTAAGTTATATATTAAGTATTATATTTCACCAGATTTTATTGTGTAAAACGTATTCAAGCGCGAATGAGAACCGTTTCGAGGGGGATGCCAGGTGTGCAAAAAAACAACAAAAAAACAAAAATAAAACGAATATTCGAATGTCACATTTTCAAATCGAATACCAACCCACCAAAACGAATATTCAAATATTCGGGTCCAGCCCTAGTAGTCTGGCCACCATTCAACCCGAAAAATGTCATATAACCATTCCAATAACTCTGAAGCTGTTCAGTTAAAGGGATACTCCACTTTTTTTGGAAATAGGCTCATTTTACAACTCCCCCAGAGTTAAACTGTTGAGTTTTACTGTTTTTGAATCCATTCAGCCGATCTCAGGTTCTGGCGGTACCACTTTTAGCATAGCTTAGCATACATCATTGAAGTGGACAAGACCATTAGCATTTCTAAAAAGAAAATGACCAAAGAGTTTCGATATTTTTCCTATTTAAAACTTGACTCTTCTGTAGTTACATCGTGCACTAAGACCGACGGAAAATGTAAAGTTGCGATTTTCTAGGCTGATATGGCTAGGAACTATACTCTCATTCCTGCGTAATAATCAAGAAACGTCACTGCCGTACCATGAGTGCAGCAGGCGTAATGATATGACGCAGCGCCTGAAAATAGTTCCATTGTGTTGACGGAAGGTGGCCTATTTTCAGGCGCTGCGCTGAAAAGAAAATTGTCTTTTTAGAAATGCTAATGGTCTTGTCCACTTCAATGATGTATGCTAAGCTATGCTAAAAGTGGTACCGCCAGAACCGGAGATCGGCTGAATGGATTCAAAAACGGTAAAACTCAACAGTTTAACTCTGGGGGAGTTGTAAAATGAGCCTATTTCCAAAAAAAGTGGAGTATCCCTTTAAGCTAAAAAAAACTGCATAGTTCCTCTTTAAGCAGAAAATACTCAGCAATGCTGTCGACTTATGAATTTACTCAAGCTCAGGCTCTTCTGTCCACACACACTCCGCTGTTCTGCGCTCTAGCAGAGAATACACCCGTTGCAGGAACACTTTTAGTAGTCCAAGAAGAAGCAAATATATTTATTAAGTAGCTAAGTTATATGTTAAGTATTATATTTCACCAGATTTTATTGTGTAAAACATATTCAAGCGCGAATGAGAACCGTTTCGAGGGGGATGCCAGGTGTGCAAAAAAAAACAACAACAACAAAAAAAACGTAGTCTGGCCACCATTCAACCCGAAAAATGTCATATAACCATTCCAATAACTCTGAAGCTGTTCAGTTAAGCTAAAAAAACTGCATAGTTCCCCTTTAAACAGAAAATACTCAGCAATGCTGTCGACTTATGAACTTACTCGAGGTTTGTCTTAAAGCATATTAAAAACACCACATACACACATAAACAACATTAAAAGCTGGATTTACACCACAGGGGGACTATAAGCGAGTGCACTGTGTATGTAGTTGTACTGAATAATTCGTTATTAAGTGTCCTTTATTACAACCCTGATAATAATGTCACTCCATGGCTTCCAAAAGCATATGAAAGCTGCCCGGCAGTCTTAATTTTGTATTTTGTCATTTACAACTTGTGCATTTGGGATTTAATTGTTGCAATTGGATAATTTGCGTATTTTTCACATGCACACCTGAGTTTTGAGAACTTCAGTCAGACAGGTGGTGAGTTTTCTCTTAATCACCCATTCAATCAAGTCATTTTTTTTTCATCAAGGTTACACCTGCATCTACAAACGCCGCACAGGATCCAAAACGGACGGCTGTGCGGTGTGTTATCGCATCGAGCGCTTTACCCAGCTCTCCGTGAAGCTGCTGGAGTTTCGGCGACCCGAGTGCGAGCTGCTGGATCGGGACAACGTGGGCATCGTGCTTCTCCTCCAGCCGCTGTCAGCGCAGAGCGCCGCGCTCAGCCCCGTGTGTGTGGCCAACACACACCTGCTGTTCAACCCCAGGAGAGGAGACGTGAAGCTCGCGCAGATGGCCATCGTGTTCGCGGAGATCGACGTCATGATCCAGAAATGCAGGAGTGCAGGACGGCGCTGTGAGGTGGTCTTATGTGGGGACTTTAACGCTTTACCCAACAGCCCTCTGTGGAGGTTCATCAGCAGCGGACAGCTCTACTACCACGGGTTACCAACCTGGATGGTGAGTGACCCGTTTACTTACTCGTGGGACAGCAGAGGTTTCACTACAGGACCCAGATTTAAGTAAGGGATCCAGATTTAAGTGTTATCTCTAATAAACCCGACAGAGTGATCAGGATCAGGTCTTCATCAGCCTGAAGGGGTTTATTCTGAGATAACACACACACACACACACACCTGAAGAGGTTTATTCTGAGATAACACACACACACACACACCTGAAGAGGTTTATTCTGAGATAACACACACACACACACACCTGAAGGGGTTTATTCTGAGATAACACACACACACACACACCTGAAGAGGTTTATTCTGAGATAACACACACACACACACACACCTGAAGGGGTTTATTCTGAGATAACCCACACACACACACACCTGAAGGGGTTTATTCTGAGATAACACACACACACACACACACCTGAAGAGGTTTATTCTGAGATAACACACACACACACACACCTGAAGGGGTTTATTCTGAGATAACACACACACACACACACACACCTGAAGAGGTTTATTCTGAGATAACACACACACACACACACACCTGAAGGGGTTTATTCTGAGATAACACACACACACACCTGAAGGGGTTTATTCTGAGATAACACACACACACACACACACACCTGAAGGGGTTTATTCTGAGATAACCCACACACACACACACACACCTGAAGGGGTTTATTCTGAGATAACACACACACACACACACACACACACACACACACACACACCTGAAGGGGTTTATTCTGAGATAACACACACACACACACACACACACACACACACACACACACACACACACACCTGAAGGGGTTTATTCTGAGATAACACACACACACACACACACCTGAAGAGGTTTATTCTGAGATAACACACACACACACACACACCTGAAGGGGTTTATTCTGAGATAACACACACACACACACACACACACACACACACACACACCTGAAGGGGGTTTATTCTGAGAAAACACACACACACACACACACACACACACACACCTGAAGAGGTTTATTCTGAGATAACACACACACACACACACACACCTGAAGGGGTTTATTCTGAGATAACACACACACACACACCTGAAGGGGTTTATTCTGAGATAACACACACACACACACACACACACACACCTGAAGAGGTTTATTCTGAGATAACACACACACACACACACACCTGAAGGGGTTTATTTTGAGATAACACACACACACACACACACACACACACACACCTGAAGGGGGTTTATTCTGAGATAACCACCGGCTGGATGTTCATTATCCCGCTTATTGCACGACTACTTGCCACATAAGTAAATAATTAGACACAAAATATTGATCTGCGTTGAAATATTTAATAAGCTCTTTAAACGCAAAGCTTCGCGGAGAGAGAGCAATTTCAGCGGTGAGTTCAAACTAGACAGATATTTAAGAGATACGGTATACAGGTCCTTCTCAAAAAATTAGCATATTGTGATAAAGTTCATTATTTTCCATAATGTAATGATAAAAATTAAACTTTCATATATTTTAGATTCATTGCACACCAACTGAAATATTTCAGGTCTTTTATTGTTTTAATACTGATGATTTTGGCATACAGCTCATGAAAACCCAAAATTCTCAAAAAATTAGCATATCATGAAAAGGGTCTCTAAACGAGCTATTAACCTAATCATCTGAATCAACTAATTAACTCTAAACACCTGCAAAAAATTCCTGAGGCTTTTAAAAACTCCCAGCCTGTTTCATTACTCAAAACCGCAATCATGGGTAAGACTGCCGACCTGACTGCTGTCCAGAAGGCCATCATTGACACCCTCAAGCAAGAGGGTAAGACAGAAAGAAATTAAGACACAGAAAAGACCCCTTAAGACACAGCCCCTCCTCATTTGCATAATGAGGCAGAAATGCATACAGAAATGTAGAAACGACAGGCAGAAATAAATAGCATTGAAGAAATAAATAGGGTAAAAAAATACAAAGGAAGAATAAAACAGACAAAAATATTATAACATGCACATAAATAAATACTTCAAAAAATAAGTAATTAATAAATAAAGTTGAAGATTATAACAGACAATAAATAAATAAGGTAATTATTACAAAGGTGAATAAATAAAGAAGCTAATTAAAAGAGATATATACATTTATGTCTCACTGTATAATTTAATTTCTACCTACATTTATTTGTTTATTGTTTTTTTTGGGGCAATTAATTGTATGCTTATTTATTTATTGAGCATTTATTTATTTCTGTATTTATTTTTAAATATGGTAGAGTCGGTCCTCCATAGCAGAACTTCCACGAAGAAAAAACGTTCTTAGCGAGTGTATAGCGCTGATGACTTCAGTGAACCGGATGACTCTGTGTTATCAGTATTTTGCGGTTGTTACCTGGGAATATCACACCGCTGGATGGCACGATTGACCAATCAGAATCAAGTATTCCACAGAGTCGTGTAATAAAACTGGAGATTAAAATTTAATTTCATGCAAAAGTAACAATGTTCTGAAAGTCATACATTGAATTCATCAATATTGTTTTTAACTGCATAAACCATGCAAAATGAATAACGTAATGGAGACTTGCCCATTTTTCTAAATGTATAAACAAATCAAGTATATATTTATATAGTGCTTTCAACGATACATATGGTTTCAAAGCAGCTTTACAGAAAATCGCTCTTAGTGACTGCCTTAGTGCTTTATAGAGCAAGTTTAGAGCAGAGCGAAATGATGGTGTATAAGGATGTATATTTAGATCTAGATATATTGTATTTATAGTGTTATCTAGCAAATATATCAGAGCAAAAGTGACTCAAACACATTCAAAAACAAATAATAGATTTAAATATCAGTCGGTTTTAATCTTTTTAAGAGATATTTAGAGATTTAAATGTCCGTCGGTTTTGTTCTATTAACTGATTAACATTAGGGCTGTTCCTCAACGGCTCAGGGGGAGCAGCTGAGCTGAGATGTGCGGCGGGTTGGAGGACTGATGCTCATTTCTCCAGATTCGGAGAGTCCTGATGCTTCTGGCGTACAGTGAGGGCAATTACAGCCCTTGACAGTGGATGCTACGTGGGCAAAGACATGAATCTCGTGTCCATCGGGAAGCTCAATGGGCTCAAAAATATTCCTCATGTGTATATTCCTATTAATATTTCCTGTTGTGTACTTCTTGTATGCGAGATGCATACAGTGATTCTGATCACTGCAGCAGTTTGTAGAAAACACTTGAGTGTATTGTTTGCCTTTGCAGGTTTCAGGACAGACGGATCTGTCACATAAAGTCCATCACGCAAGGCTTTTCGCCCCCTTGTGGCCCAGCAGCCTCGGCGTCAGTGACCGCTGTCAGTACAAGTCTGAATCGCAGACCGCAGCTTCAGGTCAGCGCCTGATCACATCTTTCTGTCATTGCTTGAAATTCAAAATACTGTCTATTATTATTATTACCTTTATACCTAACCTTGTGCATAAAAAAAAAAGTTACACATAGGCCACATAGTGGACAAAAATGTCTGTGTCAAAAAAATTGTACACACCCACACAATTATCGCTGCATAATTTATCCAATTGGCTCTATAATATGCAGAAGCAGAAAACGGGAATAAAGCGAGTATTTGCTTTGTAGGCCAAACCTGAGGAAATGGCACCATCTTGTAAAAAAATGTCGGCCTTGCCAACAGATTGAAAGCCTATTAACAAAGATTGCATATTTCTGTAGTTAAATAACCCTGGGATTAAAAATGGCAGTTTTAATGGGTTTCAATGGGGACAGTTTTGTCCTTAAGGTCCTGAGTGGAACTATTTTGTGTTTCTAGTGCAAAATAGATTTATTAAAGGAAATGGGGGTGAAATAGTAAAATTCCAATGAAAATTCACACCTGTGCCAAATTGTGTGCATTTGGCATTAACACAGGCAAAATGATCCAAAAAAAACAATACTGGGAAAGACCAAGTGTCCATAAGGGCTAAATTAGTGTTCCGGGTCAAAAACGGCCGACCTTGTAAATGCTTGTAAATCTCTAATCATGCTACATTATCACCAAATATTGGATTGAATATTTTTGTCAACTTGTTTTCTTTCAGTCGGCACAGGTTTTGTGTCTTTTTGGAAGTGATTGATCTGAGCTCATGCATTTTTGAGTTCAATAAGCTTGTGTAAAAGTTTTTCACTCAAACACTGAGGGGCATCAGTGAGGCCTACGATCAGTCAGTAAAAAAAACAACATACAAAACCTGTGCTAATTGAATGCAAACAAGTTGATAAAAAAGATTGTATCCAATATTTGGCAATTACAAAGCGTAAAGAGAGATTTATTAGCAATGTTTTGTAGGCTGGTCGTTTTTGACCCAGTAAGCATAAAAATGTGGTGGAAAAATACCGTAAAAGTATAAAAAATTTAAAAAATTGTTTGGGTAGTTGTTATACTCTGTGTGAGCAAAGCAGGTCAATTTTCATTCAATGCAAAAACATTAACCAGCATTTTCAGAAAAAAAGAAATTCTTCTCAGAGTCAAAAATACTGGAGCAATATTAAAGGAGTAGTTCACTTCAGAATTAAAATGTCCTGATAATTTACTCTCCCCCACGTCATCCAAGATGTTCATGTCTTTCTTTCTTCAGTGGAAAAGAAATGAAGGTTTTTGAGGAAAACACTCCAGGATTTCCTCCATATAGTGACTTCAATGGGGTCCAACGGGTCGAAGGTCCAGATGTGAGTTTCAGTGCAGCTTCAAAGTCTCGACACGATCCAGCCAAGGAATAAGAGTCTGATCTAGACAAACCAGCCGACATTTATAACAAAATACACATTTATATACTTTTAACCACTAATGCTGGTCTTGCACGAGCTGTGATGCGACACACATTACGTAATCAGGTTGAAAGGTCATGAGAAAGGTCAAAGACAGACATGGATATCTTGTATAAAGTGGGGAGAGTAAATTATCAGGAAATTTTAATTCTGAAGTGAACTAATCCTTTAATATATGTAATCAAACAGCATTGTTTTTTGTTCAGTGTATAATGTATATAATCGTTAAGGAACCAAAATCATCAGTTAGTTTTGATTCCCAACATGCATGTGTTTAATTCTGTGCATACAGGTATTTTCCCAGTGTATAATCGCCAGTACAGCCATGAGTCGATGCTTCAGCTGCGTTACTGTCCGGCGGCGTGTGTGCGGCCCGCGGACCTGGAGCTCATACCAGGAGTCACCGACAAAACACCAGGTGATCCATTCACACCGGCTGCGCTCGAGTCAGTGCCCATACATGTCAGAACTAGGCTTAGCATTAAATACAGTTTATGCACCATTCAATATTTAAGCCTTGCTTAATTCTTAATTTTTAAAGAAACTTAATTCTTCATTTTAACGAAATATTTACAGAATGTTGAAATAAAACAGCAGATTGTTTGAATTACAAGTTGATTTAAGAGGAAATGGTGCAACAAATGTACAGAGTTGAATGAATGAAATGAAACGAATTAACTAGTAGTTACTAAGGATTTTACATTCCAGTTTAAGAACTTAAAGCGTAACTGTGGACGACTTCTGCAAGTGTCTGAAGTGTTTGCAATGATGGTATTTCTTGTGTTTATTTCCAGACCCAGAAGACATGGACATGTTCAGTAGAAGGTGAGTCAGCTGCTGTTCAGGTTTAACAAGTCTTTGACAAAGACATAATCCTGAAGAGAACAGCATTAATCGGAGAATCGGCTGCTTCCTTGAGACACTTATTTAAATTGCCTTATTTTCCTATCGCATATTTTAGTGATCATCGTAAATTAGGCATCATGCACAAAAGGCACTTATGGAGATTTTCCATTTACAGATTTTCGCTGCCCTTCTCTTCTCTGTAAAGTGAGGGTTCACACAAACCTACGTAGCAGTCGGATGTCCGTATGAACGAAGGCACAGGGGCCTCAACAGGCCATCAAATCAAATCAAATTTTATTTATAAAGCACATTTAAAATCAACTTTGGTTGGCCAAAGTGCTGTACATAAAAGAAAAACAGAAAAGGCAAAAATGGATAGAAAAATGAAGACAAGAAACGCAGTAGAATTACAAAGAATTGAAAGCACAAGAGAAAAGATGAGTTTTAAGCATGGATTTAAATTCAGCTGATGTAAAAGCAGTTCTAACAGGTTATTCCACAACTTGAGCTTTTACAGTGGCTGGCCTCGATCGCCTCTTTATTGTAAGCGGGATTGAGGGACAGACAGAAGATGTTGATCATGGCCTAAGTGATCTGGATGGATTGTTTATATTTGTACCGGAACAGTGGATTGCGGATTTGAAATCGAGTGCATTTGGACTTATTTTTCCAGAAAAACACTGTAACGCCTCAAATAACGCCTTTTTTTCACCTGTCGATGTGTATGAAGGAACTGACCGATCCCCACTTTTGCCTCCGACATGGAGAACAGAGAGATGACAGCACAACTGGCAAAATGTTGGCGACAATTATTGTCATGTAAACATAATGGGCGATATATTGCGTCACCAAAAATGATTGAGGTCATGTACATACTGTATATTGTGTGATAAGTTTTATTTTGTATCATCATTTCAGTTCAATTACTCTGTGCATTTCTAGTGCTTCACATCTGGAAGCTCATTGGTCAGCGGGTCCTTATGGTCCATGGAGAAAACGAAGAGAAACTCAGCAGCCGTGTGAAACACCAGGGGCCTCATTTATAACCGTTGCGTCGCACAAGAGCCGTGTGCCACTTCCCACACATAGGTTGTGATTTAGGAAAACCACTTTACATCTTCATTATGAGTCCTAATCATAAATAACACTGCATGTTCACAATAACAGTTTAAATACATAAAAGAACGATTTAAGGTATGTTTTACATCTGATATACACATTTAGATTAAATTGAAAATATAGGAATTTAATAGGAAAATAGGAAGTCTCGTGAGAAGCGAGAACGAGCGAGAAACACAAACTGCTTTATGGTAATTCAACATAATTATATGATACTGTGTATGATGTATTACCCACTCGGTAGACACAGCTCCACACGATGACGTTGGCCGGCTCCGATAATAACACATGCACATGAGCAGCGTTAGAAAGCGGGAGGAGGTGCTGCAAGTGAGTGTTTTTATCACAGTGTTGTGAAATATACGGTCCACAGCTGTAGGGGGCGCTGATGAGAACACATGCGACAACAAAAGTGAAAATCAGTGAAGAAATGGCTAGAGTTGCCAAGTGCCCCTTTAATGGAGTTAAGCGCTTAAACTACATGAAATCATTACCGAGACGTTACAACATTTTTTTATATTCTTTTAAATAGAAATATTTGTAGTGGATGCGCTGCTTTTGAGCACTTTTCCTGTGGCATGCTGTGTTTTAATATTTTAATACAGCGAGGATTAAACATGATATCACGTGGGTGAATATGCAAAGGATATGCAGATGAGGATTATAATTATGCATAGTAAAACGAGGCGTTGTAAGCGCCATATATGGTTATTTTGGGGAAGAGACGCATGTGAACACAAGAGCATGTGCGCAGGTTCTGGCGTACGCACGGTTTTAGAAGTCTGAATATTTTGGGCTTTCGTGCGCACATACACTTTTAGTAAGGATCCTACGCACAGTTTTATAAATGAGACCCCAGATCAGAAGCATCTGCCGATTCTCACATTAATCTGATTGTGTGTTTGCAGGTTCGGGCACACCTTGCATCACTCGCTGAGCCTGGCGTCAGCTTACAGTGAGGTGCGTCCCGACACTCAGACGCCTGCGGTCTCCACACTGAACTCAGACGGGGCGGCCATGGTCGACTACATCTTCTACTCCACCCAGAGGAGCGGGTCTGCTGGAGAGGAAGGTAATGACCTGAGCTCGATCAACCATCATCCCAGCATGAACATGAGCTCAGTTTAAGGCTACGTCTACATTAATCCGGATACATCTCAAAACGCTGTTTTCGTTTCAAAACGCTCTCCGTCCACACTGGCGTTTTCCAAAGGTTTCTCATCCACACTGAAAAGTCGAAAAACGCTAAATTCACCTTTACTGCGCATGCGTAAACCCTCACGGAAGCTCACTGAGATGATGCAGACAGGAAAATAAATAATAAAATTATTGCGTAAATCTTCTGGCAGGATAATTTTATTTAGCAGAATATCTCAGCATTCACTGAAGCGTCCGGTCGCTCTCACTCACTGTTATATGTTTGGTCTAAAACACTAAAACTGCTCATGTTTAGCAAATGTGAGTGAATTCTGTCATCTGTGCAGGACTGTGATATGGAGAGTGTGTGAAGTAACATATTTTAGCAACTGTGTGAAAGTGAACCGCACATAACAGGCACAACACCGCTATAAACATGAGTATCTATGGGTACAGTATGTGTCACATGACTAAACTTACATCATCGGTTTCCAATACCTCAGTTTTGACAGTCCACACTACATCACGAAAAACAGTGTTTTCAAATGTATCTTCTTTGGAGAGCGTTTTCAAAAAGTGTAGTTTTCATTAGTAAAAACGCGTCTCGGTGTGGACGGAAGGCCAAAACTGAGAAAAAAAGATGCGTTTTCAAACGGACAAGGCCTAAAGCCATTAAATATCTGTAACCGCACTGATTTTGATCCGCCCCAAATCAAACATTGTAATTTAAATGAATTAATTAATTGCATTTAATTGTCTTTTTAATGCTCAACATGATCTGTTAAACCTGTCGCACTCGATCTCCTCAGTCCTTCTGTCTCTGACTGGGAGTTTAGACTCTTTTATCCAGTAAAAGTCTTTCAGTGTAATTGTACAAACGTCCTCCTTCAGCTCGAGCTTCACGAGTCTTTCTGTGTCAAATCTGACCTGATTTATCAAGGAATAACTTTGATAGTGTTAGTAATATTTCAGCTGGACTGAAGGAGCTTCGCTTTACTTGATTGTCATACATCATTTATAGAAAAATCATGAGTATCAAATATGATCATCAGGCTTTTGAGGAAGGTTTATTAGTTCATTTGTTCATATCTGTCGATCATCATTGTATTGCATTGCATTTTATGATTTAAAACTACTGAGCTTTGATCATAAAACTAAGCATATTTAATATCAGCTTACTACTAATAAAAAAAATTCATCTTTTTGTTCATAATAATATCAGCATCTTTAGCATATTTTGCTCAGTTTGGGCCTCTGAATAAAACTGATCTGTTTTTTTATGTTGTTATATTCCCACTATATCAGACTATATGAGCCATAAAAGCCTGATCTATCAAATATGATACTCAAGAAAAAACACATGCAAACATATTTTTTAATATTTTGGTTAAAGGTTCAATAAACTGTGAATATACAGTAGTCAACATTTGAAGTGGATCAAAACCTTTCATCAAAGTTATACATGAATTTAGAACAATACCCGTTCTTGTCTTAGGACAACTTTGATTAACTTTTTTGATCCACTTCAAGTGTTGACTACTGTATATATTTTTTCTATTATTTGATGGGATTATTGTTTGGAGCTTGAGGCTCTGTTTGTTGACGTCACATGACTGATGACGTCACACACACGACTGATGACGTCACACACACGACTGATGTATAGAGCGAATTATGTGCCAAAATTAAACAAACAAATCCAGCATTTTGCAAACAAACTCGATCTGCTTTGCAAAGGAAAACTCGATTCGCAAACAAACAGAAAGCAATTTGCAAAAACAACGGTCAATTTGAGCGAAAATGCAGTGGAGTAACCAATATTGTGTTTTACAAATATAAATAAATGATCCTTGATAATATTTCACAAATAAATACAAACCATCCTACAAATTGCATGTAACCTTTGAACAAATAGCAAATCTAGTGCATACAAATGCATATCTGTCTGTGCAAACACAATATTGGTTACTCCACTGCATTTTCGCTCAAATTGACCTTTGTTTTTGCAAATTGCTTTCTGTTTGTTCTGTTTGATCGAGTTTGTTTGCAAAATGCTGGATTTGTTTGTTTAATTTTGGCACATAATTCACTCCATACTGAAGACGTCACACACATGACTGATGACGTCACACGACCGACTGATGACGTCACACGACCGATGACGTCACACACATGACTGATGATGTCAGCGCGTGTGTGTTGTCCGCACAGAGAGCGCTGGCGGTTTGCAGATGTTGGGTCGTCTGTCTCTGCTGTCGGAGGCTGATCTCTGGTCTCTGAAGGGTCTTCCCAACCAAACCTTCCCCTCCGATCACCTCAGTCTGCTGGTCAAGCTCCAGCTCCGCTCACTGTCCCACTCTGATAGTCGTCTAGTGTAAGGACTGTTTGTCTTTATCGCTTTAATTGGATTGTAAATGGAAAAAAATACATTTTTGGTCAGATGAATATTTTGTTTTCTATTCAGTAACAGAACGTGTGAATATTCTCCAGCATGGCATTTGATGATGCACCATTTACGGTTCCAGTAGTTTAAATCAAAATGCACTTGCATTTATGATGCACTTTTTGTATTTATTTTGTTTTGGTTTTGAATTTCTATTTTGAACAGACCTAAATAAATAACTGCATGTGCTGCTGTTGTTTTTGCTTTTAGTTTAAATACTGTGACGCATTTGGTTTATTAATTATGCAGATGACATGCACCAGATTCCCAGAAATCTGTTGCCAAGCTTCTGGAGTTCACAGAGAGCACACATTATTCGCAGGGTTTTCTAAAACAGCATATTTTTTTACAGTTGTGATGCGTTTGTTACAGTTATTCACATGCATCAAACATTTACTTCTCAACAGGGTGACAGAAATGTTTGGGAAACCTGTTTGGAAATGATAATTTTTCATCTCCATTAAGTGCAGAAATTACACACTTCAGATTTAAATCTGCACTATGTAATTTTTATTTTCATTTACAAATATAAAAATGAGTAAGTACATCATAAAACCATTTTCCAAACGGTGTAAATCTCTATAGTGACCCTGTTTTTATTTTAAAGCCGTCAGGACGGATTCCCTTGGAAATCTGCATACTTTCATCATTAGTCTGTGTTTACATGATATTCATAATAAATGAAAGGTCAGGCTACTACTTGGCTATATGCAGAAGCTTGAAGCCACAACAGCTGAACCTTGAACTGAAAAGAGTCTGCAAGCAAAAAGGAAAAGCAACAGTTATCCACAATAAAACATGAATCAACATGGTTTGTCTGGCGTCACTGTCACGTTTTGGGTTTTGTTCCTTGTTGTTGTCTGTCATGTGTTTCCCCGTTTTGTTGATTAGTCTCCCCATGTGTTTCTGATTAGCCACGCCCCCTTGTTATCTTGTTTAGCTTGTTTGCCTGTGTATTTATACCCTTGTTCTTCAGTTGGTGTTTGTCGGTCGTTGTTTGATGTGAGAGGTTCCTTGTTCTGTGTTCTGTGTGCCTTGTTCTGAGTTTAGAGTTTTCTGGATTACTTGTCTGTTAGATAATTAAAGTGCTTGCATTTGGATTCGCTCTCTGCTTCATTCCTCCTGCCGTCGTTACAGAACGACCGACCAAACTTGAATCCAGCAGCACAGATCTCACCTGATCTTCCCAGCAAGAGCGGGGAGTTCGCCGGTCAGATCGCGGCCTTGGCCCTGGATAGCCGCGATCTGTTCCAGTATACCTGGGGGTTTGCCCCTCTCGCTGCCTCCTGCTCTCTCGGTGATGAGGCGATTAAGCTGTGTTACCGGCTAGGGGCTAAGAAGGTCGACCCGAGGGAGCTCCCCGATCTCTCGGGTCTGAACTGGAGAGAGGCACTCGGCCGATGTCTGGAGAGCTTCCTTCCGCGGTACGCCAGGTCATCACCTGATCTCCGCGTCCAGCCAGAGCACGTCCAGCCAGAGCTTCACGTCAGCCACGTCCAGCCAGAGCTTCACGTCAGCCACGTCCAGCCAGAGCTTCACGTCAGCCACGTCCAACCAGAGCTTCACGTCAGCCACGTCCAGCCAGAGCCAGTCTTCCAGCCAGAGCTTCACGTCAGCCACGTCCAGCCAGAGCTTCACGTCAGCCACGTCCAGCCAGAGCTTCACGTCAGCCACGTCCAGCCAGAGCTTCACGTCAGCCACGTCCAGCCAGAGCTTCACGTCAGCCACGTCCAGCCAGAGCTTCACGTCAGCCACGTCCAGCCAGAGCTTCACGTCAGCAACGTCCAGCCAGAGCTTCACGTCAGCCACGTCCAGCCAGAGCTTCACGTCAGCCACGTCCAGTCTTCGAGCAAGAGCCTGAGCCAGTCTTCGAGCAAGAGCCTGAGCCAGTCTTCGAGCAAGAGCCTGAGCCAGTCTTCGAGCAAGAGCCTGAGCCAGTCTTCGAGCAAGAGCCTGAGCCAGTCTTCGAGCAAGAGCCTGAGCCAGTCTTCGAGCAAGAGCCTGAGCCAGTCTTCGAGCAAGAGCCTGAGCCAGTCTTCGAGCAAGAGCCTGAGCCAGTCTTCGAGCAAGAGCCTGAGCCAGTCTTCGAGCAAGAGCCTGAGCCAGTCTTCGAGCAAGAGCCTGAGCCCGTCTTCGAGCAAGAGCCTGAGCCAGTCTTCGAGCAAGAGCCTGAGCCAGTCTTCGAGCAAGAGCCTGAGCCAGTCTTCGAGCAAGAGCCTGAGCCAGTCTTCGAGCAAGAGCCTGAGCCAGTCTTCGAGCAAGAGCCTGAGCCAGTCTTCGAGCAAGAGCCTGAGCCAGTCTTCGAGCAAGAGCCTGAGCCAGTCTTCGAGCAAGAGCCTGAGCCAGTCTTCGAGCAAGAGCCTGAGCCCGTCTTCGAGCAAGAGCCTGAGCCCGTCGCCTGTTCGCCAGAGCCTGAGCCCGTCGCCTGTTCGCCAGAACCGGAGCCAATCACCTGCCCGCCAGAGACTGAACACGCCGCACTTGAGTCTGCTCTGGAAGACACAGCGCTCATTGTGGTGTCCATGGCTATTTTGTGTGTGTGGGCAGCACACACATCAGCGACAGCCCATGAACCCAGCCCAGAGTTTCCTTCGCCGCTGGTCCCGTCCAGCCCAGAGTTTCCTTCACCACTGGTCCTGTCCAGTCCAAAGCCCTCTTCGCCACTGGTCCCGTCCAGGCAAGAGCCGTCTTCGCCGCTGGTCCCGTCCAGCCCAAAGCCCTCTTCGCCATTGGTCCCGTCCAGCCCAAAGGCCTCTTCGCCATTGGTCCCGTCCAGGCAAGAGCCTTCTTCACCGCTGGTTCCGTCCAGCACCAAGCCTTCTTCGCTGCTGGTTCCGTCCAGCACCAAGGCCTCTTCACCCCTGGTCCCGTCCAGCCCAGAGCCCTCGCCGCTGGTCCTATACAGTCCAGAGCCGTCTTCGCCGCTGGACCTGTCCAGCTCAAAGCCCTCTTCGCCATTGGTCCAGTCCCGTACAGAACCGCCTTCATCACTGGTTCTGTGCAGTCCAGAGCCCTCGCTTCAGGTCACGCCTGCCGAGCCAGACCTTCACGTCACGTCTGCACAGCCAGAGACTGTCCACGTCACGTCTGCACAGCCAGAGACTGTCCACGTCACGTCTGCAGAGCCAGAGACTGTCCACGTCACGTCTGCACAGCCAGAGACTGTTCACGTCACTTCTGCCAAGCCAGAGACGCTTCACATCACTTCTACAGAGCCAGTGTCTACAGACAAGATGGCCGATCCAGAGTCGGTCCACGTCACTTCCTCCGAGCCAGTGTCTATGGACAAGATGGCCGAACCAGAGACTGTTCACATCACTTCTGCTGATCCAGAGACTGTTCACGTCACTTCCTCCGAGCCAGTGTCTACGGACAAGATGGCCGCCTCCGAGCCAGTGTCTACGGACAAGATGGCCGCCTCCGAGCCAGTGTCTACGGACAAGATGGCCGCCTCCGAGCCCGAGTTTGTTCCTGTTCCCGAGCCAGTCTGTGTTATCTGTTCCCGAGCCAGAGTCTGTGTTGTCAGTTCCCGAGCCAGTGAGTATGTTGTCTGTTCTTGAGTCCGAGCCAAAGACTGTGTTGTCTGTTCCCGAGCCAGTGAGTGTGTTATCTGTTCCCGAGCCAGTGAGTGTGTTGCCTGTTCCCGAGCCAGTAAGTGTGTTGTTTTTTCCCGAGCCAGTGTGTGTGTTATCGGTTCCTGAGCCAGTATGTGTGTTGTATGTTCCCGAGCCAGTGTGTGGGTTGTCTGTTCCCGAGCCAGTGTGTGGGTTGTCTGTTCCCGAGCCAGTGTGTGTGTTGTCTGTTCCCGAGCCAGTGCCGGTGTCTGCTGTTCCCGAGCCGGTGTCTGCTGTTCCCGAGCCGGTGTCTGCTGTTCCCGAGCCGGTGTCTGCTGTTCCCGAGCCGGTGTCTGCTGTTCCCGAGCCGGTGTCTGCTGTTCCCGAGCCGGTGTCTGCTGTTCCCGAGCCAGTGGCGGTGTCTGCTGTTCCCGAGCCAGTGGCGGTGTCTGCTGTTCCCGAGCCAGTGCCGGTGTCTGCTTTTCCCGAGCCAGTGCCGGTGTCTGCTGTTCCCGAGCCGGTGTCTGCTGTTCCCGAGCCAGTGCCAGTGTCTGCTGTTCCCGAGCCGGTGTCTGCTGTTCCCGAGCCAGTGCCGGTGTCTGCTTTTCCCGAGCCAGTGCCGGTGTCTGCTGTTCCCGAGCCGGTGTCTGCTGTTCCCGAGCCAGTGCCGGTGTCTGCTGTTCCCGAGCCAGTTCCGGTGTCTGCTGTTCCCGAGCCACGCTGTTCCCGAGCCAGTGTCGGTGTCTGCTGTTCCCGAGCCGGTGCCGGTGTCTGCTGTTCCCGAGCCGGTGCCGGTGTCTGCTGTTCCCGAGCCGGTGTCTGCTGTTCCCGAGCCAGTGCCGGTGTCTGCTTTTCCCGAGCCAGTGCCGGTGTCTGCTGTTCCCGAGCCGGTGTCTGCTGTTCCCGAGCCAGTGCCGGTGTCTGCTGTTCCCGAGCCAGTTCCGGTGTCTGCTGTTCCCGAGCCAGTGCCGGTGTCTGCTGTTCCCGAGCCAGTGCCGGTGTCTGCTGTTCCCGAGCCAGTGTCGGTGTCTGCTGTTCCCGAGCCGGTGCCGGTGTCTGCTGTTCCCGAGCCGGTGCCGGTGTCTGCTGTTCCCGAGCCGGTGTCTGCTGTTCCCGAGCCACGCTGTTCCCGAGCCAGTTCCGGTGTCTGCTGTTCCCGAGCCACGCTGTTCCCGAGCCAGTGCCGGTGTCTGCTGTTCCCGAGCCGGTGCCGGTGTCTGCTGTTCCCGAGCCGGTGCCGGTGTCTGCTGTTCCCGAGCCGGTGCCGGTGTCTGCTGTTCCCGAGCCGGTGCCGGTGTCTGCTGTTCCCGAGCCGGTGTCTGCTGTTCCCGACGTCTGCTGTTCGTCTGCTGTTGCTATGTCACGGTGTGGGTTTTGGGTTTTGTTCCTTGTTGTCTGTCATGTGTTTCCCCGTTTTGTTGATTAGTCTCCCCATGTGTTTCTGATTAGCCACGCCCCCTTGTTATCTTGTTTAGCTTGTTTGCCTGTGTATTTATACCCTTGTTCTTCAGTTGGTGTTTGTCGGTCGTTGTTTGATGTGAGAGGTTCCTTGTTCGGTGTTCTGTGTGCCTTGTTCTGAGTTTAGAGTTTTCTGGATTACTTGTCTGTTAGATAATTAAAGTGCTTGCATTTGGAT